TGCAAAACATGCCATCCCAAAGAAAAACCCAAACTGAGAAACAAATACAGTTGGTAACATCTTCATAAATGAGCTTAATAAATGTCATTAAAATGAATGTGACATACAGTACAAACTATCCATGGCACTTTCACTGGAACAGTACAATAGCTTTAATGAGTGCTGTAGTATGAATAACTGGGCTCAAAACAGGACCAGCAATGCAAAGAATCAGGTATTTGGTTGTTGTTAATGGAAGGTGAGACTACAAGAGAACATGAACTACTGTATTGTAAGACGTGTTTTGAAGGAAGACTCTGGGGAAAGAAGGACATCAATGAAGGTGTGAATATGGAGAAAATATGGCAGCACAAGGGCTGGTAAAGACGAAATATACATCGTCACGATACAGTACAAATGAAAAAAGAGGAGGGGAGATGTTAACAGTAAAGTCTGCTTTTCAAATGCAACAATCTGATACACCAATGACTCCACGAGGGGAAAAAAAAAAGCACCTAAAAAACTTATACTGTTTTATTTTGTACTTCCTGCAAAGAAGTTAGTGCGTGAGTCACAAGAACCAATGGAGAGACAAAATGCTGTTCTCTCTCCTCTTTGAGATTGGGGACTCATATATAAATATACACACACATATATATATATACACACGTAGACAGATGAATATATATATATGTATATATGTGTGTGTATATACAGAGAAAGATAGACAAAGATGTTATCTTCCTGTGTTCTTGGCAAGGAATTAGTCCTGAAGTTAGAAGGAGTGGAGGTAGGATTGAGGTTGGAAGGAAAGGTAACGAAGAGGGCATACCGCTTTCGGCTTCTGCAAACGACAAGAAAAAAATTGCAAATCAAACACTTTGATAAGAAATCAACTGGCACCAAAGCAAAAGCAAAAAAACCCTTTATTTAAAAGTCTTCAAGGCTCAAAGGTTTTTCTGCTGAGAATGAGAACAAATATATGGATAGACGAGGAGTAAACACAGGGTGCAGGAGGGAAGAATCCTGGTTAGGCTTTCCTTCTTGCTTACTCATGTGGAAAAAAGAAAAAAAATAAGGGCAAAAAGGAAGGCAAAAATCTCTCTAAAAGGGATTTCAGATGAGGCGTTTGAATGTCTGCATTTTGAACTGATATTTTTTCTCTCTATTCCCAGCAAGCTCCACTGTGACATTTTCAGGTTGATGTTCTCCATGTTCCTTTGGCATTTTTTCTACAGAAGAAACAAAACCTCTCTACACATGAACTAAGAAAGACCATTTTTTAAGGTGAAGTATTTGACTTGCATCAGGAACACAAAAACTTATTTAAGTGCTTCCTGCTCTTAATAACTGATTATAATATTGCCAGATACTAATTAGAGATGAAGGAATGGCTAACTCATATTGTGACCTGGAACTACTGAAGTGCAGACCTTAGTAGCTGTTCAGAAACCCACTAAATTCAGTCACGTTTTGTAAACTGAGGTTTCTTTGATAACTGAGCAGTAAATTAAACATTATTAAATATATAAATGTAAAGGTAAAAAAAAAAAATCTAATCATGGGTATTTTAATTAATCTTTAAGATACCTTGATGAGAAACAGTTGCCTAAAAAGATGAACATACTATAGATGCTTTATCCATTATTTGAAAACGAGTTTGTATTTCTCATAATTATATTACCTATATTTAGGCTTCAAAACTTTTAAATTCTGCTTTTAATCAATCTTGTAAAGTCATAAATTGTTTATAATTAATAATCTCATACTGTCAAAACTTGTTATCAAGGTGTGCTTAGTGTTTTGTGTAGCTTTATTAGGAGTCAGGAAAAAAGGAGAAAAAACCCAACTGCGAGCAGGAAGCTCAGCTACTGCTAACTTGTACATGAATATTAGCTTAGATAGAGTTCTGGTGATTTATAATTACTATTGATCTCAAATTCCCTGTGGTAGAGTTAACAGAATTTGGCTGTAAATCAGAAAGCTTTAGAAAACCAGCATCTAGGAGACTGCCTGGGAAAAAAAGGTGCATAGATAAGTGAGTATTTATGCCATTCTACATGTAATGAAGACATTAACAAAGTCAATGAAAATTCTGCCATTGACTTAAAATGGTACTAGGATTTATCCTTAACACCAAGGTGAAAATTTAGAGCAGGGATAAGACAATCTAGAATGCCCTCACATTATCACTTTTGAGTGCTGCACACACTTCTGAATTCACTTTGCGTTGCTTTAGCTTTGAGTGCAAAGTGATGAAGGCAGAAGAAACTAATCTTAAAAGGAAACTCCCCGTGTAAGTAAAAAATCAGATATATAATTTCCTTATGTAGATATTCTATTATGACTAGTAACAAAAATTAAACTGGTGGGAGTAAGATCTTCTCATCCCTTAGGCAGACAGAACGCTTTGAAAATTTTCTCTGCTCCTGAAAATACTGGTCCTAGACCTGCCTCAGCTATGGCAGGAAATACTAGCTCTTAATAAAAGAGTGCCACCTAGATAACATTCTAAATTTTTGTTTATATTTATCATTGTTGCTCTAAATTGTAAACTATGTAAAACCTCTCCATAGTTTTACAAAATAAGAATCTAAACTATAATCCTAAAATAAATCAGCACATACCTACTGTTGGTCACTCTCATAAGGAGTGAAAGCTAAAAGGGTACCATAATCAGTTCCCCCTTCATCTTTATGAAGAATTACCAATGAAGAACTTAAGATATGAAGTAGAATAAAATATTTTCAAAGTCAACAACAACAAACATAATTGACAAATGACAAATTTATCCTGTTCAAAGACAGCTTGCACTGGTAAACCATGTTATTCTAATTTTTTTCTTAATTCCCCATCTTTTCATTTAATAAGATGCAAGGAAATGCAAGTATACCTAAGAAGTGAGAAACTGAAGTTTTGTTCCGTTACCTTTCTGGTTAGACCAAAAGGCTCCAGCTCAGAAAACCACAAATATGTACTTAACATATTTGGGTTGAAGAGCGCAGGAACAAGCAGAACAGTAAAGATATGCTGCAGGTAGCTCTGTGATTCACCAAACAGTGGCTATAAAATTATCACTGGTTAATAAAGTCAGCATATATTACTGTGGATGGGGGTTATAAGAAAATGTGAACGTCTAGCTTACGTGCTCTCCTCTTGTTACATATGTATTCACAAAATCCAGCTGTTAACATCCTTTTGTTAGTACTGTTTCCTGCAATTTTTAGGCTCTTTTTTTTCTACCAAATTAATTAATTGTGAACTGTTACCTGTGTGGCTTTAAGTAAGAAGGAATATATGATTGTATCACATTGTGTTACTTTTTGTGGGATCCTCTGCATCACCTTGTGATTCAGAACTCAATCCAACTCCCACTGAAGTTAGTGCAAAGAATGATATGGAAGCCATGAATTATCTGTTATTACTGAAAAAGACTGTAATATTAGCACTTATGTAACTAAATGACAACTGAAGTAATGACAACCTAAAGTTGGGCAATAATTCTTAGGAGAGTCAACAGAAACCAAATATTTTCTAATATTGGAAATACAAAATCCGGTAAATAATTCCACTGCTGTTACTATGGTATTTTTCTTTTTTCTAGGAAGAGATTAAACTGCTCAGAGACAAAAGAATAATAAATCATTTGCTTTACATTAACTAATGCAGAATGAGATCATTCAATGGAAGAATATTTTAAGAGCCCATGGCAGCTGGAAGCATTAAAAAAAAAATCTGATTATTTAAAAAAAAAAAAAAAAAAGGATTTCTTAATCAGCATAGTGTGGACAAAAATAATATCTGATAGCACATACACCACTTCACATATCACTTTATAACATAGGAAAGAATCAAGCAAAACCAACTGTAGGGCATGGAAATACTTTTATAAACAGTTGTAACATTGCATTTTCCATGTCAAACGCCCCACATAGGTTTTCTAGATATTTTTAATAAAGAAAAATGAAAACCTGTAATAATAAACATTAAAATAAACTTTCAAAACCTCAGAAATTGTGGCATGAGCTCAAATGACAGAATTGGTTCTCCTGTGAGGAGAAACAATTGCCCTCGGAAGTTTTAGGTAATTAGTGGCCAAAAAGAAGATGAACTACTATGTATCGTTCCAGATTCACTACAGTAGTACATAATATAATTTTTGACAGAGGAAAATAAAATTCAGCTCAGAGTCAGTATTGTTATATTTGTATTATATGCCCCTCCACATGTTGCAGAGCACATTTCTAACATTTTTGTTATACAAAAATGAATGTTGTGTAAAGCACTGATGGACAAGTTGATAGCAGATTGACTCCAATGTTCCCTCGGATTTTTATGAATTTTCATACGAAAGACCCGCCAAGAAACACTACTTTTCCTGTCTGTAAATCTGTACTACTAATAATGAATTTTTTTCTTTTTGGCTGAGGAAAGGAGTCAGCCAGTTGGTAATTTCAAGGCTAAATTAATCTCTTCCAGTTTCATGATATTCATATATGCAAGTTTTGTCAGAACAGATACCATATAAAGACTATGTTTATCCTATATTTCTGTTTATTCTGTATCCTATTTAAATTGGTTCTTCCAAACGTATTTAAATGAAATTATTATTCTGAGAATACACATAGCCATAATGAGTTTTGATATTACATCTGTTTTCCACTTGTCCATTTTCAGTGAAGTAAGTTGGACCTCCAACTAGAACTGATAGACTATGAGCAAAAACGTTGTAAGTTTTTGTTTAAGTAAAAATGAATTGCACTTCTGGAGATGGGACATACGTATCACTGTCCCCTCACCTTCTACTAAATGTTCTGACTTAAATTAATTTTAGGGAAAAAGAATAGGGCAGAAATGAAAGCCTTTCAGTGATACGTGAAATGGTGTAATGTGATGGCATGCTAATTATACTCTGAAATGTTTCAAAAATATAAGAATAGCTATGTTCCTTCTGAAAAAAAGCAGGCAAAATTCTTGACAGTGCATTTCAGAACTTCAAAATTTGTAGGCATTGGACATACCTGCTTTCTCGTTTTTCCGACTTGTATTCTATGGCTATCATTAAGAGCTTTAGTTTCGCAAACACCAGTCTGCAGGAAGAGAAGAGGCCAAGAGTCAGTCCTTTTTTACAACCAACATCACATATGTAGAGATAGCTGCGGGGTATTTTTTCTTTGAGAACTTACACTAAGATCTTTTCCCATTTTTTCAGTTAGGTATACACAGAACGTATATTAAGGTCTTTCTATTTTGAAGATAATGAACACATATTTTCCTAAAAATACAAACTGACAAGTTGAAAACTGTAGCATAAGCACCAACACTATGTTACTAAGTCTACTTAAGCAATAATAACAAAGGTCACGATGCACAACATAAAATTGCGTTTGGCTATAGTTGTGGATGTCTTGAGGACATTTTTCAAATCTTTGCTGGAATTCAGCCATACGTTGATTGTAGTGTGCATTCCTTAGAAAATATGTATGTACTGAACTAAAATGAGAGTACACTATTAATAAGTCAATATTTGCCAACTACTGTCGCAGAGGAACAGCATGACTGGAAGCAATTTCTGACCAATATATGGGGAGTACATTCTGATACTGTAATACACATTTTTTTCAGTTGTAAAAGTCTGTACAAGTGGCTATTTATTAAAACAACTCAAGGGTGATACTCAGACTTGCAGAACTTTCAGTTAGCACAGCAACATTTGCTTCAAGCTAATAGGCTCTCTGAGAATAAATGAACCAACAATGTTTTAAAAATAACTAGAAACCATTTTGCAGTTTTGTTATTGAAGTATACGCAAATTCAACACTATTTGCTTCCTGTTCTATGAATTTGTCACAAATTATTCTAGGGCTCACCTTTCAATTAGATGGCTGCCATCTTCTGTATCATACACTAACTTTTCCAGTTCTCAGTGCATCTCTACAAACTTCCTTACTTTATTAATATTTTTGCATGTATTTCGAGAATATTTATATTCTTTAAGCAAATCTAAGCAATATTCTGCATACTTTGCATCAATCACATACTTAGCAGAAAACAAGGAATTGGCTGCTGAACTGATAATATTCCATTTCTATAATAAATTTCAGAAATTAACTTTTCCAGTTCTCAGTGCATCTCTACAAACTTCCTTACTTTATTAATATTTTTGCATGTATTTCGAGAATATTTATATTCTTTAAGCAAATCTAAGCAATATTCTGCATACTTTGCATCAATCACATACTTAGCAGAAAACAAGGAATTGGCTGCTGAACTGATAATATTCCATTTCTATAATAAATTTCAAAAATCACTGTGAACAGTTAATTTCTGCTATTTCTTCAGGATAAGAGAATAATTACAGCTAAGCATGGATGTAGGGGTTCTGACAATGCTGAGGCAATGTGCTGCATATCACATAAGGATATATACAATAGAATTTACTTTGCATTGTTTAAGTTTTGCAATGTAATTCTTGAGTATATTTTTTTTTCAAAAATTTTCCTTTTAAAGGATTGTAAAAGTATCTCTGTAGTCTCCTTGTCTGGGGAGACAGGTGATATATCACTATTGGGAAGTAACACAGGGCAAGATTCATTTAACTTTTTTCCCAAATCAATTAAAACTCTTATTCTACCCCCAGCACTCCAGCCAATGTCAGAAATGGGCAGACAAAATCCTGATAGTTAGGAAATTCTTGATTAGCCCACCACCTCCTACAATATTAACAGGTTAATGAAGCCTGACTATCCCGCTTCAAAAAAAGAAAAATAAAATAAAAAATCAATTTTCAAACATATTAACACTTGAGTACCCTATATGTTGTATTAAGACCATTACGCATCTGTTTTAAAAAAGATTATATAAAACTACAATACAAATTAATACAATACAATACAAAAAGAAAAAGATGAAATACAAGTAAAATATACAAAAAAATACAACTTCACGAGCCATGAATGTCAAGAGTTCTAAATCTATTTTTTATTTTGACCACCTACATTCCTTTAGGAAACACACTTAACTTCTCTTCCTTCATTTTCTAGTATTTGATAATCTATCTGTCTATGTATCTTCCTAAAAAGAAAAAAACCCAACAAACCAAACTTAAAGAGATAAGCACAATGCTACCCTAATATTTGGCATCAGTATCGCATTCTTATCTATACATTTACTAAAAATATTTAAGTAGTAAAATAAATAGGTTTACATGCACTTGGCCATGCTATTAAACATTAGGATTAATACGTGTCACCATTTAACTGTATTGTGCAAATGTAGTTTGATACGATTAAAACGAGAAACAGAAAGATCTTAACCTGCTTTTTTTCCCCAGATACATAAAGAACCTTGTAATAAGAAGTTAGAACACTTTTATCTCAAATTATTATGTAGAAGTCCACAAAAATTGTCAATGACAGTACATGAGGCATTAATTTCTATTTTATTTTCAACTGTCAGCATCTTCTGCTAACTACTGATGAACACAGATGGTCAGGAACAAAGACTCTTAAGAATATGACTTTTTTTCCCCAGATACATAAAGAACCTTGTAATAAGAAGTTAGAACACTTTTATCTCAAATTATTATGTAGAAGTCCACAAAAATTGTCAATGACAGTACATGAGGCATTAATTTCTATTTTATTTTCAACTGTCAGCATCTTCTGCTAACTACTGATGAACACAGATGGTCAGGAACAAAGACTCTTAAGACTATGAATCTGACTGTTTCTATCTACCCAGAGAGAAATAAATTGTTTTTGACATTAAATCTTCCTTCTTTACTGTAAGACTATCATTGGCATAAATTAACCATAGATACCTGCTGTATTATTTGCATGTGAAAGTACTGGGATATTTAGAATTTAAAGAAATTATCATTCTCCTTTCTGAGTTGCAAAACATGAAGATATAACCTTGATTAGTTCTTAATTATTTAATTTTGTACCAAACATTAAAAAAAGGATTTTAATTAGAAAATCTACTGGAAGGAAGTTTTTTCTTTTCAAACAAATTTTTTATTGAAATCCTGCTCACCATAAATAATTCAGGTTTTTTTCTCAGGGTCAGTTATAACATTTTTTGCTGAACTACTTTCGACAATGGAATAGGTACTCTCCTCAGGAGAGAAAAAGTACTTTCAACCTACTTCCATACCTTGGTTCAGCTGCAGTTAGCAAAAGTATATTGATATAGGTTACATCACTTTGCTATTCACCTGATGAAAAATACATGCAAAAATATCATTCTTATTTGAAAAGTAGTATCTTATAGTAGCATCTTAAGCTGAGCAAATGACTTACAATATCAGAATTCTTTCATAAGTACGTTATTTTTGTCTTTTCAAACTATTTTTTATGCACATTGGCAACTGGTGCTTTCTTTGGCACTTGCTAGTACGTTGTGTTCCTTCGGAGCTGGAAGTATGAGAATAGCAGGTACTTTACTTTTATGGAGCAGCAGTGTCTAAAACCAGTGCAGTCAATAAGCTTTGTATGTTGGAATAGAAATTATCATAATATATATTTAATAACCCAAATACCCCTTTTAAAGGTTTGTTAGTGTCAGGCTCATCTAATTTTCAATCACGTGAAACTGGCAAAAGCATGGGCACCTTCTGCTTTCAACCTCCAGCTGGGTTCTTCCAGATGCTGAGCACTCATGTATTGCTCAGGCAAGGAAAAAAATTTAAGCAAATATTCCACTAGTAGAATTTCACAGAACTATTCAAAAAATTCAAAAGTAAGCACTGATGTAAGTGGTTGTCTGATCAAGTGTAAAATGGTAAGTTTGTTAGCAAGAGTTTTGGGGGTCTTGTTAAAATATTTGAGATGTATTTTGCAGGTGTCTTACTAGATCATTACATGCACTTCTACTATTGCATTAGAATTGCTGGATCTTTTTAAGCACGCTACAGAAAAGCACATGACAAGAGAAGTTAGAGGAGGAATCGGAAATTAGAGATGCTAAGAAATGGAAAGCCACTGGCTAAAATCTATCCCATATGTAATACAGAAGGCACTGGTGGTGTTGCAATATTAGTTGCGACTCCTGTAGTTTTATACAAATTAGGAAGAATCCATTGGCTACCAGTACTGGAAAATTTGCTCAGAAAGTAAGAGTACTTAACTACTATTACAGTTATTTTCCATTAGAATACTGTTTATCTTACATGACTGTTGACTTACTATTTACACCTCAGAAAGACAGCAAAAACTTTGAGCGTGCTGCGAAAGGATAAGAAACCCTAAGAGGCCAGCTCAGGAATATAGAAGAATGAAAAAAATACGGCTGTGCCATGTGTGTGTGTAATCATGCAGATGTTTCTGGATCTGTGATTGCTATGTATCTCACATTGATGTGAAGCAGAAGTAACTCCACTGAAATAATGGAATAATTAGCTTAATGAAAAGCAAACAATGCCAGTGAGGAGTTTAGTTTACTAGACAGGCTTTAGTTAAGTGGGCAGTCCCACGTCAGGTTAGAATTTTAACCATAATCTCAGCTGTGAAGAGACACAGAGATACTACATGTTCAAGGTACGTTTTCCAGTCTAATCCCATCTGACCAATAAAATGAAACACAATTAAGTTTTATATTTTGCAAGTTATGAATCACTGGCTACAAAGCAATACTCCCTGCCAGGTTCAGTGCATGAAAAACATTGTTCACACTTACTGCCAAAACACTGAAGAATGCACTTTTTAATTTCTTTAGTCAGTCAGGAACCAATAGATGTATCAGAGAGAGATTTGAAACCGATGAAAAGTATTACATACAAACATTGCCTAATGCACCTGCATGGCAACAGTTTAAATGTACTTTAGTACTTCACGTAAACATTTCCCTGATGTATCTGAATACAATACACAAGTTTTGAACTCTCTCCTTTTGCTTTGTGTTGTGGTTTTAACCCCAGCCGGCAACTAAGCCCCACACAGCTGCTCGCTCACTCCCCCCCAGTGGGATGGGGGAGAGAATCGGAAGGGTAAAAGTGAGAAAACTCATGGGTTGAGATCAAGACAGTTTAACAGGGAAAGCAAAAGCCACGCACGCAAGCAAAGCAAAACCAGGAATTCACTCCCTACTT